AGAGGTGGGTCAAATCCTCGCATGCCGGACAATGGGTGTCCGGGTGTGCGCGGACTACGGAGACCTGAACGCAAAGCAAGGACCGTCCGGACAGCGTCCGGGAAAGAGTGGCGGGATTCAAATTTAGACCACCACTGGTTGGGGGTGTATGTGGGGGGTTCGCCTAACGCCGGCTTGCACATTTCCGCACACCCTGCTGAGGCTGGCAGCGCCGATCAGCTGAGAGGATAAAGAAGAGAAGAGCGGGGGGGGGGAGAGGGGGCAGGTGGGAGGCCGGGGTGGGACTCAAATATTTGGAGTACCGGTCCAGCGGGCGCGGCTTGGTGGGGCGCGCTTCACCTTGCATGCACGCAGCCGTGCCGCGAGCTGCCGCGGGCCGCGATTCTGCTCCGCGCCACCAATTCAGAGGATAAAAAGGTGAGATGGGAACCCGGGGAAGGTGCCAACAACAGAGGGGTGGAGAGAAAACCGGTCCGGTTTCCGCTGCTCTCAGCTCGGCAGAACCGGGCCGAACCGGCTGAATTCCCACCCCCGTTCTCCGCCCGAATCAGTTCTTCCAACAAGCCGTTCACCAAACCCGGCTCAAGCAAGTTAAAACCGCCGGATCTCCCGAATGGCTGCAAACCGGCGGAATCCAACCACCGCTCTTTTCCTTTGCATCTCAGCTGATCGTCGGCTCTTTGAACAACCGGTTGGCCCAAACCGCTCCAAAACCTATAGTAGGATACCGCTACTACTGGGGGAAACTTAAGGAGGCTTTGAAGAGACGGGACGGCCACTTGCGTGACGCCAAAATGAAACAACCGGTTCTCCCCAACCGCTGCGAACCGGTTGAATCCCACCTCCGGGGAGGGCTGATCCTTGCGCATTGTGAGTCTCAGCTCCTGCGCGAGCAGAAAGGGGGTTGGGCTAGATGACTTCCCGGCTCCCTGATTCTGAGGCCCAGCCCGGGTGGCGCAGGGAACAAACTTTAGCATGGCGGGCACCCACCGCCGCAGCATGGGGCGGCGAGCGTGGCATGAACCGGGAAGGCTGAAACCGATGGAAGACTGTGTTGGCCGACGAGCAACGCCAAACGCCGAGGCGGGCTGACTAAAATACTAGCTGGCTCCCGTCGGTTTTGGGGGACAAGGCAAGGCGGGGCTTGGAGAAAGCGGGGCGTTCCCACCCGGGTCCAGGCGAGGGTCCGAACGTAGAATGGGGAGTTTGGCACAAGTTTAAACCATGGTCTACCCTGTGTTTGACCTGCTAAGGAACCCTGCAAATCCCGACTCTTCCAGAACCCCAAAAAGGGATCCAATCTTATTATTATTTTTGTCGCGCCTCGAGCGCCGTTTCTCAAAAGTTTGGCGAACTTTTAAAGAAGGGGCGGACTTCCAACTCCGCAGAATTCTGGCTGGGGGGCGGGGAATTCAAGGAGTTGGAAGTCCGCCGACTCCCCCCGTAAAAGTTCGCCGAACGTTGGAGCGACGCCGCTCTCGAATTCTCGAAACACACACACTTCCCGCCAAGGACCGAGACTTCATTCTACTCCCTTCCGTGTGCTTCGACGACCGCAAAAAAACCCCTCACTGCCTCGTTTAACAACCGCCGCAAACTCCTCCCACTCACCCCACCCCCTAAAAATCAGCGGTCCCGATTGACGTCCAAACTTTCCGCTCTTCGGGTGGAGGTCGGAGGGGAGAATCGGCGGTTTTCGGCAAACCAGGTAAGTACAAAAAAAGGGGAAAAGACGCGGCAAATGTTGCCGTTCTCCAGCCAACAAGCGTTGGTCCACCTGCACTGTCCCGCTCTAAAACGGAAGCGTGTGTGTACGTGTGTGTGTGTGTGTGTGTGTTTGTGTTTGTGTCATTTATCTCCCAACAGTTTGGCCCCCTCTTCCCGCCCCCCCAATTTTCTCTCTTCCACCGATTTTGAGAGTTTGGAAAAAAGCTGCTTTCGGATTCCGTCGCAGGGCTCGAAACGGCGGTTGGGCTCGAACTGGAAGAGGGATGACTTGTACGGATAAGAGCGGCCCATCTCGGAGCACAGGAAGTCCTCGAGTCACAACCGTCTGCTTAGAGACCGCTTGGGTGTGGAGAGGAAGTGACTCGGGGCCGGGTGTTGTTTTTTTTTTTTTCACCCCTTACGACGGTTGCGGAGTTCCTCGCGGTCAACATTCGGGGGCGGACGCTTTCTTTACGACCGCGTCCTGGGGTTGACGGCATCCCTTTTGGGGCGACTTTCGGAACGAGCAAAGTCCGCGGGGCGGGGGCGGGGGGAAAGCCAGCTTCGCCGAACAACCCCCCATTGGCAAATGGATCAACGCTTAACGCCGGAGGTCAGGAAAGGGTCGTAAAAACGAGGCAAGATTAACCGAGCCACCCGTCTCGCTTTGCACTCAATTGGTATCGGAACTCCGAGGACGACTTGGACAAGATTGACTCGGGAATGATTCCTCCGTTCTTATCCATCGCTTCTCTTTCTTTCTTTCTTTCTTTCTTTCTTTTTCTTTCTCTTTTTCTTTTTCTTCCATCCTTCCTTTCGTTTCTTTCTCTTTCTCCGAATTCTCGCCGAACGAGAACTCCGCGCCACGAGTCTTCGAGATCCGCAAGGCTTCGAAAAGGGAAGGAAATTTTTGCAGGCCTTGAACGACGAGGAGGGGAGGGGTCCCCAGGCCCCGCCAGCAGCTTTTTGGCCCAGGAGAAGAGGGTCTCCTTTAACCCCACACGTAGGACCCCTCCCCAGTCCCTGCCCTAACCCCTCCCCACCCAAGAGACCGGTCGAAAACGGTCCTACGGCAACCGGTCGACTCGACGGGGGTACTTCCGCTGGGCTGCCGTAATGCCCACCTCGGGCGTGGAGCCGGGGGGGTGGGGCTTCTCCTCCCCCCCTCCGCCGTGAAAGAAAAGTCACCCCGCGCCCCGGATGTCCTTTCCGGCTACCGCCGTAGTCGGGGTAGCTTCCCCTCCCCCCCCGGCCGCTCCGAGTCCGCGTCTCGTTTCCCCGAAAGAGGAGTCCCGGTCGGCAGGCGGTCTCGACTGGCCCAAAAGGCACCCGTTCTCGGGGCTCAGCCCCCTGCCTTCCTCAAATGGCCGTGTCCCAAAGCACCGTCTGCTGTCGGCGGCACGGCGGCGTGCCCGATTTGCGGCTCTCGGTGCTCCTCCGCCAGCTGGGCAGGACCGGCATGCTCTCCTGTTTGTAGAGGCTGCGCTCCGGGCGGTGACGAGCTTTGATCTCCTTGCAGACGCACCGCTTACGCTCGATCACCTCCAGCAGCTTCCCGTCCCGCTGGCGCGAGCTCTGGGCCGCCTCCCCGGGAGGGAGCGGGGCGTAGGGCAGGGCCTGCGAAAGAGAGGAGCGGGGTGGGGGTGGGGGAGGAGAGAGGGGGGCGGTTTTTCAGGAGCCCCGCTTGGCGCGTCGCCGCGCGGGGCTTTTCGCGGCCCGGGTTGGGATTCGGGGGCGGAGGCGTCGGGCCTCGGGGGGGAAACCTGCGGGCACCTCTCACCCCTGAAACCCGCTTGGCCAGGCAAAGCCGCTTGCAGAAATAAGCGGAGGGGTCTACGTGAGAATCTGGTCCTTCCGTCTCGGCTCTGTCGGGGCCCCTGCATGGGGACCAAGGGCCTTCCCCACATTGGTGGTCATCGGTCAGCATGTCCCTCAGCAGAGGGTGGCAGGCAGAGCAGAGGAGGAGGAGGAAGAGGAGGAGGAGGAAGAGGAGGAGGAGGAAGAGGAGGAGGAGGAGGAGGAGGGGAAGAGGGGGAGGAAGAGGAGAAGAGGAGGAGAGGAGGAGGAAGAGGTATAGAAGGAAGAGAAGAGG